CTGCCGGGCCTGGAGACGACTGTCGGTAACCCGGCGCTGGCGGAGCAGCTAAAGAAACGGAAATCCCGCTGCTGATGTTTATAGTAACGGTTTCAGAAACAAGATAAAAAGCGCCCGGAAGGCTCTTTTATCACAGAAGGCTCTGTGAGTTATAACTACTGCCAGTGTCTTGACGCCCTGTTTATTCACTTACGTCTTTGTTGCAGCAGTATGGCTAATACAAAGCCAGATGATGAAATAATCCTCTTTGAAAGAGAAATGAAAGAGTTTTGGACCAAATTAAAAAACATATACGGCACTGAACAGATCAGTCAGACGTTAGCACTGAGAGATTCATGCAAGGAGTCCATAAAAGCACTTTCAGGTAAAAGGCTCTATTTTCTTCTTACCTCTATTTTTTCCACGTTATCATCAAACTTCGTCAGATAACCAAAGTAATTTTCCGTTACAGAGAAATGGTCAAAGAAGCTGAAAGAAGGAGACCTGATGATTGATAAAATTCAAGAGTATAGCAATGGTACAGTATGGTGTTTCATTTATTGTGTCTAATATTTATAAAGTTAACTTAATACAGTTTAATAAGATGTTTAACTTCCTATTTTAGAAGGTAAATAACATAAGAATGAAAAATAAATTCAAACATATTTGGTTGGCTACAGGACGTAATTTGCAAGTGAAAACCAACTTATTGGAAAACTTCATTGATGAGGTAAAAAGACATGTCTGGTAAAGTTTTCTGTATCGTTGTTTTGGTGCTTAAGTATTTAAAACAAAGTACTCTAACTTGCTGACTGCAACAGGAAAATAAATTGCTTAGTAAAGTTATGCCTTTTTTACATTAGTAACAGTACAGTCAGCCTATCATTCTAGGATTAACTTTTCTGAAGTTCAGCTATGAAATTCAGAGCATCAAGTAAAAATAATTGTAGTTCATATCAGTCAGTGTTTCCATTTCTCACTTTGTCTGGTTACTTGTCTGTGGACAGAATCCACCATCCTCATGCTTTAAAGGTGTATATACTGCTGGCACCAGAAACAAGCTGTATTTATTTGAAGTATCAGAGGAGCTCTCTCCTTAGTATGTTCTGAATAACTTTCACTTTAACCTTTCATTTGATGGTCTTACTATAGTTATGCTGACTTCTCTCTTCAGCTGTCACTAGGTTTTATTAAAATGAGTAATCTCAAACTATATAGATAAGTACTAAATGGCAGGGGCCTAATTGTACATGTTCCTGGTCTCTTGCTTCCTTTCAGAGATTCTCCAGCAGAACCAATGCATATCAGAAAATCAAGAGCGGCTGACAGAAATAAAAGTGAACCTAAATCAAGAGGAAGAGCAAAAAAAGGACTTGATGGACAGCATCCAAGAGCTTAAAGAAGAGCTGTTGAAGAAAAAGGAAAGTAAGTAAAGGGTAATAAGTAAATTTTCTTAATTAGAGGAGGGATTGTTTTCAACATTTGCTTTTGATGGGCTTTTCTACTGTTCTAAATATTTTTGTTTTACCTTTGCTTGATACTTATGGTGGCTTTTAAAATTCTAGTAATATCTTCTAAAAACAAAGCTGCAAAGGAGAGAGTGGAACGACTGTGCATATCTAAAGAATTGTTTAAAGAGCGGCTTGGACTGGAGATACGGAGAATTCACGGTAAGTTTCTGTGGTTCCCATGTGCAGTGATGTGCTGTGGTTAATGTTGGACTGTGCAGTGAAGGATATAGGAGCTCACACAGAAGTCCAGGTGTTGCTGTTGCCTCTCAAAAGGCAAAATATGGTACATTAACATGCATTTGTCTCTCAAAGAGGCCAAGGTTGCTTAAGTTGTAATGCTCTAAGAATATTAATTGAAACTGTAGCTTCATATTGTGATTTTTAGTCATCATTGTGACTCCAGTAGAGGTAAATGGTACTAATAAATTCTTTGTTTGCTTTAGATGAACAATTGCAGTTTATATTCAGACACATTGACCATAAAGATCCTGACAAGCCATACTTATTTACTCTTTCCATAAATGAACAAGGGGATTATGAAGGTAAGTGAATTTTGACTACTTAAACATGAGGGCAGAACCTGATGCCCTTATTGAAAGAGGGGGGAGAGGAGTAAAGTGCAGTTTAGTTGTATCTTTTATGTTTCAATTTATGAATGAAAAATCTTGCAAAAATAGTAATTTTTTTTAAAATGAAGTTTCTCTTGTTAATTCATATGAGAATAGAACTGCTTATCTTCACTCCCCTCCATTTGTGTAGTTGCTGCTTACTTTGTATCAAGCAAAGCACCAGAGAGAAAAGATAGAGACACAGATGCTTCAGTTTGCAACTTGTTGCTTCTCTTTATGCTATAGTTCATGCTGGCAGGCATATTTCAACCTACTTGAGAAGCCTAGAGGGCAGAAAAAACTAGGTTCTGTATTATTGTGGGGAACCCTTACAGTCGTGTGACACAGGAGGAAGATTAACACTTGAAATGCAGCATTCCTCTTCTGTAAGGATACATCTCTCCAGATCTTAAAGCTGGTTTGTCAGCCTTCACGTCAGTTAGAAAGACCAGCCGTGGTAATTGCAGTACTGTGCTGAATAGCTTCTAGACGGATGCTGTTGTTGCTCTGCTATGCCTCTAAGTATGGGCTGAATAGATTTCTGGTTTTACTAATTCAAATCTGAATTGTGATGAAGTTAAAAGGTTATCACTTGTTGGGCTATGTCAGTTTTTGGCCTGCCTGCCTGCAGAGCAACAAAAATGTTTAGGAATACATTTCAATTTTTGAGCAGGCTATGGACTACTTGGAATTGCTGTAACAACTCAAACAGGAGCACAGCACTGACTGGGGGGGGGGTTTGGAAAAAATTGTGTTCTTTGCTGAAAGAAAACTATTTAATAGGCCACTCAAAGTAATACTCGAGGAAGTGCCAACATACAAAGATACTATGCATTCCATAAACATGGAAAAACACTAATTTTTCACAACTTTTTTATAATAGTCTAATCTTTTGGAAATTTGTGTCATTTTAGTGACTTCCTGTACTCCTCCTCTGGACTGTATACCAGAGTTCCAGCTCAAAGTGAGAGAAACGAACAATTTTTCTGCGTTTGTTGCCAACATCAGAAAAGCTTTCACTGCTTTATCTTACAAACAGTCTGCATAAAACCACCTTATACCTCTCTAGCTGTAGAGCACTCTTTTCTTTGCTTCCTGTATTGTGAAAGTATTTATCCATGTCTTACTCATTTCTAAATAAAGAAAGAATTAAATATTTTAGTCCACTATCATCCAGAGATGTTTTGGATCATCCTTTGAGCAATGGTATAATCAACTACTTTAACTGAATGTCTCCACATAAATTTTGATCCAGTCGCAAGTAGCTTAATGATGTAATGATTGCTATTTAGATACCTAGGAAGATAAAAAAAATTAAGTACTCTCTGTAATTTATGTCTCTCTTCCAGAAGCATAGTAGTGTATTTCAGGTTTGTTTTGGTTGGAATAGGCCTAAAACCTACCAAAATAATGGACTGGAACTTAGCTTCAGTTACTTGTCTCACAGGCAACTACCTTAATTTTTACCCTGTCTTGTACTCTCCAGTGTTATCACTCCTTTTCATGCATGAAAATTGTTTTCCTTTTTGTCAAACTATATTTTAGTGCCTATTTCAGATTCTTCTCTCAATGCCTTTCTCTGTTGTTAGTAAGAACTACTTGTGTATGTTACTGAATAAAGCTGTTCAAAGGAACAAGTAGGAACTTTGTATTGATTTGATGAGAAATCCTAGAGACCTGAAATAGAACCCTGCTGTAGCCCAGAGGTTCCTAACTCCCAAATCACCCAGCTGAGCAGAAAAGCTGGCCTGAAACTTGAATGATGTGACTTGAATGCAGTGGTGAATGAGTAACACTTGCAACATTACCGGTCATAGTGTTTTATTGAGTATGTTTTAGAACAGACTAGTCATTGTGCCTTATCACCTAAAGCATGTTGCAGCCAAATACTATTTATCATTGTCACTGGAGATCTTCAGACACAGCAAAGCCTGAAGTATGAAATATAGCAGTTACAGGTAAGCCATCTGTATCTTGTAGCTTATCAAGAAGACTTACTCCCATATTCTTTTTCTGATTTCTAAAGCCTTTTCCTTTTCATGAAATATTTAAATGGATAGCTGCTACAAGAAAACTTTCTGGTTTATAACCCAGTTCAAATAAAATCTTAGTACTTAAATCCTAGATCTTCTGGTAAAGTTAAAGACCACTTGAATCAAGAACTAATGATGATCCCTCTCAAAACAAATATATAAGTACATAAAAATGAAATATAAAGAGCAAAAATATTCAACACTTGGACAACCTATGTGGAAAACTTTGAAATTCTACCAGTTCCTACATAATGAAAATAACCCTTTAAAATCTCTTTGAGGAGTGTTCCAAGTTGTTTTTCAAACAGTATTTTCTGTGAAGTCAAAATTGTTCATTTAAAATAACTGTCTCAAAGCACCTGTAAACAACCCCTATCTTTCCTGTAAGATGCTAGTTCAGTTAACTATTTGGAAATTATACAGCACATAGTTACATTAGCATATATATTTCTTTTTTATCAGGAGTGGACTTTTGGAGTCAGTCTCTTGATCCTCACCACTTGGTGATGTTTCACATCTCAGATGAAAGCTGCATTCCTTTAGGAAGAAAACTAAGCTAAGAGATGCACACATAGGGTGTTTTTGCTGTTAATCTTCTCTAGTCCACAGGACAGACCAGAGCTTCTCCAGCATTTGATACCGATGTCAGTCTTCTGTTTACTAATGCAACTGTTCTTGCTTCAACCTATACTGTTATGCTTGAGAAGAAAATCCAACGTGCACACCCCCCCCCCTTTAATCTTATGCCTTTATCAGTTTCTTAATATGCAAGACCTTACCATTTAAGCATGTTCAAATGCTTAAATGTTTGATGCTGACAAGATACTCTTACTACAGTTGAAACTATTGCTCAGTCAGATGCGAGCTGTGTTTTACATGTGTTGGTTTGTCTAAATTTAACAGTACAACTCAGTGGATACCATACAGACTACACACTTAGAGTTTCTATGAGATAGCTAAAACACATCTTAACAAAAAAATTAACTCATGTTGGCAACAACAAAAAAAAAATAACCTCCCATTTCTTCTTCTCCCTATAGGGCATGATTCGCTAGTTTCTACCCCATCATCATTTTCCTTCGTATGCCCTACTGATTTTTTTCTTGTCCTGCAGCCAGCTATCCACAAAACAAGAGCAGTAAGAATGGTAAAGCTGCCAGCTGATTACAACTGTAGGACAGGATGGCAGCAGAAGAGGCATTTCTAGGATGACAAATGAACTACAAGCTCCATTTCAGCCCTGTCCATAAATCCCATGTACTCACTGAGAATTTTGTAACCATGAGACAATCAGAGGCATAGGTTGGGAGACTGCCTTCAAGAACTGGGTCTAGTTGTTCGTTAGCAGATTTCACCTCCTTTACAACCGTAGCAACAAGAATATTTAAATAGCAGGTAATTATTTCAATTAATTACTTTTACCACCCAAGAAACACTGTAGGTGCTTTTATGTACACTATAGATAAATACACTAGCTAGTATTTAAAAAAAACCAAAAAAACCCATTCAGCCAGCTCTGCACTTCCACTTCTATTTTCTCTCCCACGAGCTATGACCACAATATGACCTCATTTGTTGGTATCTCCTTTTCTTTCCTCGTACAAAATCCCTCACCTTCCACATTAGAAAGCCTGTCCTTTCTGGATTTTCACCAATGGCATTGCCCCTGTATCCAGAAGGACTGGGTTCATTTTGAAGCATACTCCTGCCCTTGTCCACCTGTCTGTGCCAAGCAACTCTTAGTTGCTCTGAAAAGTAAGAACTTCAGGATGTTCAACCAAATTTACAGCTGTTGCATGAAAGCAAAAAGACAGGCAGTATGCAGCCACCTCACTTCCATGTTTTCAAATGGGGCTGTTTACTCATTAAAGGTGTACATATTGCTCAGATGCACTGCAGCATATTTGATCATGTCCACAGAAGAAAAAAAAATTGAAGCCATGAGAAACAAAGACAAATGTTTCAACCTGCTAGTATTTTGTTTTCATGTTCAAGACACAAGTAGTTGGTTTATTGCTTCTAACAGTAAATTTGCAAAAATTGCTATGCACAGAACATAAAATAAATGCCAACCACGGGAATTTACCTTCCTAGGAATCATTTGCTAGGAAAGATAATGGGCCTGCTTCTAAATGTTCTGTGCATATGCCTTAAGCAGGAACTAAAGTTCAAAACGTTTACTGTGTGTAATTCAAACCTTTACAACTCCTTTTGGAGTTTTAATAATAAATATGCTTGTATTTGTCAGGGCAAATAAGATGCAGATCTTACTTCCTCTAAAGCAGAGCCAGGCATTCCAAAAGCAGATAAAAGCTAGGGAAGCGTACACAATAGATTTCTTTCTTTGCTTATTCTAAAACATGATGTGAAACTGGCTTGTGACATCCCTGCAACAGACTTTATGCTAGCTGAAAAAGATGTCTTAAAAACTTAAAACCTCTGTGACTTTATCAAACACCCTTAGTGCTTATAGAATTTCACATACCTGGATCTGTGGCAATTAGGAATTTTCTATTTGTTATGAAGCCACATAATACAGCAATATCCAATAACAGCAAGGACAAGCATAATACTATAGACTGACCCAACAGATACAATTATTGGGACCATAGCGCAGTGTACTGGATAACATACAAATACAGACTGAAATGCCCCAATCTTCTGCTGACCACTTGCCCAATATAGAGTGATATTATCATTAAGGTGCAAACCAGCAGCCAAACTCCTCCCTCCACTATCACATCACACACCAGAAATCCAAAGTGCCAGACAACCAGAGGGAGGAACAAGTAAGTGCACTCACCCACCACAGTGAACATGAAGAAGGAACAAGCCAAGCCACAGGATATGGTAGTAGCCAGGCCTGAGCCCAGTTATACAGCAGGGACTCAAGAGACAGCTTCATGTTCTGGCTCTGCCATTCTGGGAAGTCCACTTGCCATGAAGAGTCAGGAAGCCCTTCCAATAGCCAAAATCCTCACACAGCACATCCACTACATAAGCAAACCTCCCAGCTCCACTGCAAGCAGTCTGTTCTTATAGAGGTGGCTTCTTGCCCCACCTCCAAGTTAATGTGGAAGGTGGGGGCACCTGGTGGTGATGTCCTAATCTGTTCCCACCCAAGGCTGGCCAGACCCTGGGTGAAAACCAATCAGAAGGGTCTTTTTTGCCTGGTTGTGGACATGATCCATACGCCAACCCTCATTCAAGGCTGGGGTCTTAAACCCCAGCACTTCACCCAAAGAGCACGTGGGAAAGCTCTTGCGCTCAGAAGCAATACACAGCTTTGGGACTACAACACACAATCAAACAGAGCTCCCTCCAGTTGGTGCTAGTGCTCTATCTATTTGCAGGATTACATTTATCATAGATTTTAGTGGAGCTCAGTAAAGGCCTTTATTTCTTCATAAATCAGTTTGCCCAACCCTAAATGTTGCTTTCCCTTTCAAACTGCTGACCTGTACTTAGTCATGCCTGAAATGCATGGGCCATCAACCTATGCTGACCATACAGAAAATTGCTGATGCACTGGTGCTCAGCACCTCATCAGATTTATAATATAAAGTAAACATTTGGAATAAAGGTGTTGAATTTATTAGATATTGGAAATACACTGTGAAATTAACTACTGATTGGAAGACAAAATAATATTAAGCACTAATAACATACATATTAAGTGAATTTAATGACAATTGTTGTTTGTATGTTAGCTGGAGGTCAGATCTGGAAAGAAATCAAATTACTGTTAAGAGTCCTTCTGGCTAACAGAACAGATTTGTTACACATCTACTCAACCAAGAGTGGAAGTGGTTGAGTTTATTGACATTTTTTCATACAGCCTCTTGGATCTTGCTAGACATATTCTGGAAAGCAAACAAACAAGTATTGGCTACACTTGTGAAAATTAAGAAAGACATGGAAGTTTTTGCTATGCTTCTGTCATATTCCAATTGTGTTGTATTACTTACTGTCTTCTCTAATGCTTCAATAATTGTGAATTTGTTCAGTACCTTGAAATTGTCTAAATTAGTCCTGCCATTGTAATACTCTAAAATCACTGTGAACTCATTTATGAGTGATTTATAACTTATTAAAAGCTCTGCTTAACCCCATATAACAAA